TCATTTTGCAAACGAAAAACAGAGGCCCTGCCCAAGGCTAGCAGAGAGCAGAACCAGGAACCAGGACCTATTAATCAGTCTTGCGACTCTCGAGGCTCTGCTCTGCCACACGCTTTGCTGCTTCTTATCCTGACAAGCACAATTACTGTAATTCCCAGCAAGCTAAGTAGACAGTGGCGAAGATGCAGGGCCCGAAGGGGCAGTGGGAGGACACGGGAGCTTCCTGGCAGGGGCGCTGCAGCAAATAAAAAGGGAGCCCTGTGCCAAGCTTGCTTTTTCTCAACATAAGACTGCCTGTTCTTTATCCAAATACACCTTCCCAACCTAGTTACAACCGCACTAGGCCTACAGTTTTGTGTCCCGACGTCTGCCCTTACCACGTTGCTGGCCCATCTCCAGGCTTCTAATGGTGATTGCTTCTGACGGTCCATCAGGTTGGTGGAGCGTGTCCCACCGGCCCCAGTTCTCCCTGATGAAAGGTTTCAGTTCTGAACCAAAGCTGTTTGTTCCCCCCAAGGCAGGATTGAGTTTTTCTGAAAGAAGACAGAAGCGTCTAGCTTCTGAGAGTCGCCTGGGGGTGCCCCGCAGAGTGTGTGCATTACAGAAGAGGGTGCAGTGGCTGATGGCCCAAGGCACTCATGGGGTGAGCACTGTAGTTCTAACACACCGCCTCCTAGATGCAACCGTGCTTGCTAAATTAATTACTAAATTTTACATGGAAAAAAATCCTCCTACTCTAGAACGTATGTGTACAGAGTTCCAGGATAGTAAGGGGCCCCCAGGCCTGGGCCCCCGTTTCCCTCTGCACCGAGCTGGGTTTTGCAGCCAGCACACCTCCGAATGAATACAGAAGGATCCTGCACAAGCGGGGCCCCAGTGCCATATTCAAGCAGTACGTGATCAATGGCCGAACCGCCCCGTGCTGGGCTCCAGCCACCAGTGCCCCGCATTTCTGCCGACCGCTATAAAGTTCCAAGCTTTGAGGCATTAGCCATTCCCAGATCCTGCTCTGCAGATAGAAGAGTGCTTCTGATTAGTGAAGGTTCAAGTCACTGGAATGACTTAATGAGAAGGAAGGAGCCCGGATTGCAGTCACCCAGCATTTTACGAAAGGGAGTGGCCCATAGGGCCCTGGAGGGATTCAGAGGGAGCCATCCAGCAAACATCTGAGAGCCTGCCTCCTGCCGCATCCTGTGCTGGACACCAGAAATGCACTGAAGACGACCTCCCATCCTCTCTGCAGCCTCAGGGCTCAGCCCCGTCTACCACTTAGAACTCAAGGAAGCCAGTTCCTCGCAAAGCTCGCTCACTCCCGCGTGAACCAAGAAAAAGTTAGTGCACACAAGCGTAGCGCCCGCCACCAGCAAACGTTAGTGATTCTTGCTGTTCTTTTAAAGACTGACACAGACTCAATTTATGTGAATTCTCTGGATACTGTATTCATGTTTGCTTCGCCTTAGGCAAGAGGACTTTATAGCCACGCTGCCTGCAGGGGGCACTCAATTTCTCCACCTTCTCATCTGCACCTGGCTGATCCCACAGACTGTGTCTATGCCCATGAATCATTTTTGGTGGATGACACAATCTTGCTCGAGGGTAGCTACTTACTTAGTCATGGAAAGGCTGTCTGTCCAGCAAGGTGGAAATTCAGTTTTAACTTGCAGACATGCCTTGTGACAGCAGAAGAAACCCGAAGAATGAGAAAAGTAATTAGCCCTGGAAATAGTCTTCCTTAGTGGGCGGGGCTGGGGCAGTAAGAATAGAGATGCAGGATTTACTTTTGTTTTTTAATAATTACTAAATTCGACTGGAAAACAAAGTGTTTCATCACTCTGGCTTTGGCTGACCTAGTGCTATCCCTGTAAAAAGGTATTTTCTGCTCTACTACCAAAGCTGTTTAAAAATCATCTGGACGCCCCTGAGTGGCTCAGTGGGTTAAGCATCTGACTCTTGATTTTGGCTCAGGTCTTGATCTCAGGGTCTTGAGATGGAGCCACGAGCCAGACCCTGCCCTCAGCAGGGAGTCTGCTTGGGATTCTCTCTCTCCCTCTCCCCCTTCCCCCCAACCCCACTGTCTCTCTCTCTCTCTCTCTGTAATAAGTAAGTACAGCATACATAAATAGAACCTTTAAAACTTGGACTTTCACTTTACAAGGCCCCTGAAGAGCATGGCCTCCTGGGAAGTCCCTGGGACTGAAATCTGACAGAAGTTGGTTTAAATACTGATAGAGGCCACATATGAGCTGTGTAACCCAAACCAAGTTGCTTATGTCTCCGTAGGTCTCTCTCCCCACCTCCAAAACGAAGACATACATATCTGGAAGCAATGTGATCAGGCCTGGAGATAACTGTAAAGCTCCTGGGACACAAAATGTGCCCAATAAATAGTAGCTATGCTCACCTCCCCCGCCGCCCCGCCCCAGTTGGAATTTGACCAAAATTTTACATCTGATTGGAAAACCTGACATTAAGACTTACATATGCTCCCCTGGATCTTTAGCAAGGAGCCAAATTCTCTCTACTGCAGGGAAAATCAAGTACTGACAGAATTTGGAGTCAGGATAAAATGGCAAAAGAACCAAGCGTCTCAGACAATATCTCTAAGAATGACCTTGTCTAAGGGTCTGTAAACATGTTGCTGCTAAGACCAGCCCCTCTGAGCACATGTCTAGACAAGCCTTCTCAGAAGGACATGTGCTCAGATGCTCCATCAGGTCAGAGCAGCAAAAAAGCGGGAGACCGTGCTTTGCACGAAGTCCAAGAAAACCTCCCTTCTGCCTGGGGTGAAATGCCGGGAGCACAGGGGCTCTCCCTGGGCCAGCCCTGAGGTATCAGCTGAGAGCATCTCCCGTGGCCCTGACACCAACCAAGCAGGCTTCTCATGTAATTTGGGTTCTCAGAGTATCCTGTTCCACTAAGCAGAAGACAGGTGGACTTCCTGGCCCCTACTGGAACTACTCACAAGTGGCTGAGCCGGGCTAGGTTCTGTGTGTTGCACCACGGTCCCCAGTGCCTGCACGTCATTTACCAAGTAGCTGAGCAAACTCTTGGACAGGGATTCCAAAGAGTGGACACATAAATGCTTTTTTTTTTTTTTTCCCCAACAGACACAGCACCTTAATTGTCAAATAACCTTGAAACTCTGGCCTTGAAGCCTGGTGGTTTTAGAGACTAGTTCCTCTTCCTGTGCCAACGTTGTATTCCCTTGCAGGGCCCCAATTGTGCTTCCTAATTCGTGCTAGGGCAGGTCTCCAGACGCACATGCTTTTTATGCCATGTGGTAGGAAGCCACTCTTAGCCCCACCGCGACCCCACAGGGCTCCACGTGGCACACCTCTAAGTGTTCATTTACGTCACGTGGGCGATATCCTCGGTGTCACTGCATTTCCCCAATCCGGGCCTTGGCTCTACCACCTTTTCCTTCTCCGGAATGTTTTTACACCGGGGCTCACTTTACTAGAATACCAGTTCAGGCAGAACAGCCCGGCTTCGCTCGCGGGCGCAAAAGCGGCCTGTGCGGTGGGGGCGGTGACTGGCGCCGCGGTCCCCGCCCACAACAGGACGAGGCGGGTCTCACCGAGGATTCACGCTCCGGGGACTCAGGCTCCGGGGACGCTGCCCGCGCTGAAGCGCCATCCCCTCACCTACTGCGCCCCGCGCGCCGGCTGCGGGACTTGATGCCTAGGGCCAAGGGCGCAGGGCGCGCGGGCGGCGACTGGCCGGGCATCACGTAGACGCGCGGCGGGCGGGGCTGCGGCCACAGCGCCCCAACCTGCCAGCCCCGCCCGACTCAAGGGCGAAGGCAAGGTCAGGCGCACCGCGGACGGTGGGCAGCAGGCGAGGGCGCCCGGCGCAGCACCTGAGCATCCCTCCACCTGGTGTGTCCTGGAAATCTGGAAAAATCGGGCACCAGGGGTAGGAGAAAGAGGAGGAAAGAAAAACCAAACCCAGCTTGGGGAGGCGTCCCCAGCCAGGGCGATCTTAGGCTCCAGGGACGCATCCGCCCGCAAAGCGGCGATCCACTTTCTAGCGGGCGGCTCGCCCCACCCAGGGATTTACCTGGATCAGGAAACCCCACCGCCTGGAAATCCCTGTGCCCCACGTGCACCCAGCGCCAGGGGCCCGGGCGTGGCCATGTCACCCCCTCCTTTAAATTTAAATACTCTTTAGGTATCCGCGGGCCCTGGGCTTGGGTCCCCTTCTCCCCCAAATCTGCCTCCACATGGTGGGGGGAGGAGGGCTGGAGTCCGCAACCCGGGTGCTGGTGACGTCCCAGAGACCCGGCTTCCTGGTCCTTCCCAGCCGGAGGAGGCTGGCGGGGCGGGCCTTGTGACCTATTTCAGTTTTCGGTTTTGTCAGGAGAGCGGTGGAAAGCCTCCAGCGGAAACTGGGCCGTGGGCATCCCGGGCGGGGTCCCCTCGCGCCCCTCGCCGCGCCCCACCAGGCAACAGCGGGGACCCCGCCCGCGCCGCGCGGGGGACGCGAATCCGCAGGACGCGCGGCGGGGATCCGTTGTTTCCACCCGGTGGGGGCGGGGTGCGAGGGGGGTGGGGGCCGCGGCATCCAGGTGGCCGCGCAACTCCTAAGCTTCCCAGGGGTGTCGGCCCCACCCTACGACTCGGACGAGAAATGACCTCCAAGGGCCGTCCAGGAGACCCCACAGCCAGTCTCAATTTAAAAACTAAACGTGGAGGGGGGAAATTAATTGATCTTCCCGATAAAGGATCCTAAGGCCACATTCTTCCCTCCTCCTGCGGGAGGGAAGACTCCTCCAGACTCCTCCTGAGGCTGCACCGCCCACTCCTGCCCCGGAAGGTACCCCTGCGGTTCCCGGGCGCCAGGATTTCTCCCCCACCCTGCTCTGAGCCGCAGTACCCCCTCTCCCTCGCTTCCTCCTGGGGCTCCCATCGCTTGTCCCCGCTTGCCCCGCGTACCCCATCCCCTCTTCCCGGTCCCTCCTCCCATCACTTATCCCCCGGCCCGGTCAGGCGGTCGCGCACCTTGGGCATCCCCGCCGCTGGTCAGCACTCCGATGGCCTTGCCGGCCCCGGAGAGGTGCTCCAGGCACTTTCGGAAGGAGACCTTGCGGTTGGCGACATCTTCGTCGTCCATGGCGAGCAGGCCGAGACTGTGCTGGGGCGGGTGCTCAGCAGGCAGTGCCCCCGCCCGCGCCACTGCGACTCGGAACCGTCCGCCCCGCCCGCTCGGCGCGCGCCAATGGGCGGCCAAGGGCGGGCTCCAGGGCGCGGGGGCCGGCCGGCGGGACGCGCGGGGCGGGGGCGCGCCTCAGGCCAGTCGGGGAGCTCGGCGGGTGGTGGTGCGTCCAGGGTGGGGGAGCGCCGCAGGTGGGGGGAGGTACGAGGGGAGCGGGCGGACCCAGCGCCGAACGTGGGCGGGAGGAGCGCGGCGGAGGAGCGCCACAGGTGGGGGCGGGGGCAGCGGATGGTCTGAGAGGGGCGGGGCGGCAGGTGGAGGGTGCATCGCTGGGTGGAGGAGGATCAAGGTCCCCTGGGGAGCATCCCCGGGGGAAAGAAAAGCATGGCAGGTGGGCGGAGCATCTTAGATGGGCGGGATCACAGCAATTGTGGGAGCATTGCGGGTGGCAGGTGGGGGGGGGCGCGGGGCCCGCGGCTACTAGGGAAGCAGAACGCAACGGAGGCGCTCCCCGCGGGATTCCTCCCCGCTCGGAGCCGAGGGCGCCCCAGCTTTTTCTACGGCTCCCCCAGGTTTCACCTGTGGCCTGGGGTTGGGAGGACGTGCAGCGGATCCTCAAGCTGGTGGCAAAAGTGGGCGTCGCTGGTTGGCGATGACCAAGCCCTGGGCCTGCCTCCGGCTAGAGGAGGAGCAGGAAGTGACCAAGGAGATGGTCTTAGCGACACCAGCCAGCCAGCCAGCAGGACCTGGTTGCAGAGAAGACAGTGGGGCGGTGGAGGGCGCAGGGAAGACTTGTCGGGGGAGATTAGACCGAAGCTCTTACCTAAGGACACTGGCTTGTACGTGTGTTGTCAGCTAGAAACTCCCACAGCTCTGCGGGGAATCTCCGAACCTAAAACATTCGTATCCAGTATCCTCGGGTGAAGGATGAACGACCAGCCGACTCTTCACCGAGCTCAGCTCAATGCCAGTTAACTGCTTCGGATATGGAGCCCGTCCCTTTCAGGGGCCTAGGGTCACCAGGCACCCAGCACTGTGCTTGGAGTGCAGGTTACCCCAAGAAAAGAGTTTCAGAAATGCCCCATTGACAGTTCACGGTAGGGTGGCACCAGGCCTCAGCTTACAGATAGTGGCTCAATAAATGTTTATCCAGTGGATACAAGAGGGGAAAAAAGCTCAAGGAAAGACTTGAGTTAACCCAGAGAAGTGTGTAATAGCAACACAAACAAGCTATCTACATAGCCCCCCCCCCCCCCCCCCCCCCCCCCCCCCCCCCCGCCAAAAGATGGCCATACGCACATTTAGGAGCTTACCTCCTCCCAGCTACACCTGATCCTCTAGCTCATCTCTCTGAGCATCAAAAATTTATTGTAAAAGAGAAAGAACTACCTGCCTTAGAGCTGGAGGTCTGACCTCTGCTGGTCAGTATTATTGGTGAATCCCTCAACCCCAGGGTCATCAGAATCACCCTGGCCTGGTTTTTCCCAGCCCCACCAGAATTACTGACACCAGGGAATATGTATTTTTAACAAGCTCCCCGTGTGTTCTAATTATTGCAAAGCCTGAGAGTGACTGCTCAAATGGATTAAGCCTGAGCAGCTTAGGGGCCGCTGGAAAGAAACACTGGGCCTTTTGGGAGTCCTGGGTGGGTGCCCTTCACTCTCCCAGGGCAGGGGAACAGAACCAGGCTGCACCCAGAGGTCCCACACCCGCAGCCTAGGATTTTTGCTCTAGAATCACCCACTCCTTCCTAGGGCATCCTACACTTTAAAACGTTGGGGCACACTGAATTCTATCTTAGCTGAAAGCCCTTTAACTTCGTATACAATTGGTATTTTTGTAATGTAAAGTCAGAGGTTGGCCTTTTGTCACTGAATTGCCTGTAATATAGAAAACAATGGATATAGGGGCGCCTGGGTGGCTCAGTCGTTAAGTGTCTGCCTTCGGCTCAGGTCATGATCCCAGGGTCCTGGGATCCAGCCCCACATCCAGCCCCACATCCAGCCCCACATCCAGGCCCACATTGGGCTCTGTGCTCCGCTGGAGACCTGCTTGTCCCCTCCCACTTCCCCTGCTTGTGTTCCCTCTCTCCCTGTGTCTGTCAATAAATAAATAAAATCTTAAAAAAAAAAAAAAGAAAACAATGGCTATAAATGGAGTCCAAACATGACAATAGGTTAAGTAAATTATGGTAAAAATATGTACTGGAATAGTTTTCAATTGCTGTTACTATTATGAGCATAAACATTTATTGACATGGAAATATGTCCAGGATATATCCGTAAGAGGCAAATACCGTGAGCCCCTGCGTGTGCGTGCACAAGTGTGCATGTATATGTAAACAGATCTAGATATTTCTATTCTCTTTCTTTTGCTTATTGTGGGTATTCTCTTATCCTGCAATGAACAAGTATTGTTTTGGGATAAATATGTGATAGTTAATTAAAAACAGTAAGGTTAACTGTCTTCAGACGCCCAAGGCTCTGTCTGTTTCGCAAAAGCTAAGATGTATGGATGCAGAGTTGTGGCTCAGGGGAGTCACCCGTCGCTCTCCCCCAGCTGCCGCCTAGAGCTCTGACCCATTGTTCAGAGTATCAGAGTGCCATGTACAGAGACCGCCAGCTAATATGGAGAGACGGAGCCCTCTCCTTTCTTATTCTCTTGCAATACGTGTATTTTAATAGTTCTTCAGACCCTTCAACTGGATGGTTTTTGCGGGGTGTTTGTTTAACTTTGGCCTTGGAAGAGAAACTGATACCAGAGGGGACAATTGCATGGCCTCCTGACTGCATCGCTTACCTCTAGCAGGATAGGACATGTGCGCTAGTTCTCTGTTGCTGCCTAAAATTTACCCCAAACTTCTGTGGCACACGGCAGCACACGCTTATGTCACAGGAAGTATTGTCCCGTGGTCAGGAATTCAGGTGGGCTTCGCTGGCCCCTGCCCATAACCTGCCCAGGCTGCAGCCAGCTGTGGGCCAGGGTCTGAAGGCTCATCTGAAGGCTCCCCTCTGCACACACTCCCAGGTTGCTGGCAGGATTTGTTTTCTTCAGGGCTGCTAGAGGAACGGTCCTAGTCCTTCCGGCCTGCAGGCTATAACTCTGCCCCTCATCTTGGCAATTTCCTTCCCTTCCAGCCATCCAGCTAGCTTCGAGCTAATCTGCAACCACACCACATGGCCTTGCCTTTTCCGCATGCCCCATGTTCCTCTCCTGCTCCCTAGAATTTGGAAAGTCCATGCACCAACGCTCCATCATCCGCTAACCTAGGGAATGTGGCCGCCGCCCCTGCTTCCTGGGGCCTGTTGTCTTTCAGTGTCCTTGTCCAAATTTAAAAATAATTCTGCTCTGCATCTAACAGCTAAACTTTAAATTATATATAGAACATTTGGAGGCTTTCCAAAACCTTGATGCAGAATCACATTGTCGAAGCTAATGAGAATATCTAGAAACTGGGGGGGAAGATGGAGAGGAAGACAGTCTCACTATTTCTGCCAAGTATGTGGCTGTTCAGAGTTTTGACCCTCTGGGCATCTCCATTAGTAACCTGGAGCCTCTCACTGAATAACTTTATTTCCTTCATGGTACGTTGGTGCAGGTTGGCCAATGGAGACTGCCCCATACTAGCAGCGCGGTTAGGGTAACAGGAGGCCCCAGTCATGCGTGCAGCGTCCGTGGTGAGTAGGTGGAGGGGTTGGTCCGTTTCCCAGGAACATCATCTGGGCCTTTCCAGGCTTGCTGGTGCTTCTTTCCTCAGAAAGCAGAAGGAAAGAGAGATGGCCGTCTTGAAGAATACGTTATAGAGGGATCTCCCAGTTAGAAAAGGAAATGATGATTCTAGCCACATGACAGAGTGATGGATAACTTCCTGAGACGAGGTTTGGTTAAACATTACTCTGAGGGTGTCTCTGGATACGGTTAGCATTGGAATCCAGCGACTCAGAGCAGCAGATTTCCCTCCCCAATGTCAGGGGGCTCAGCCAGCCCACTGAGCGCATGAAGAGACTAAAAAGGCAGAGGGAAGGATAATTTGCTCTCTCTGCTTGAGCTGGGACACCCTGTTGTCCTGCACTCCTGGGTGCAGGGTTTGGACGAGAATCACACTAGCCACTTTTCTGGATCTCCAGCCTGCACATGGGACACCATGGGACATCTCAGCCTCCAAAGCTGCCTGAGCCAATTCCGTATGAGAAACCGCCTCATATGTATATAAGTATATCTCACTGGTTCTGTTTCTCCAGAGAACCTTGCCTCGGACGTACAGCCAGGTTAAAGACTTGTCCCGTGTTAGTTGTGAAATGCTCACTCTGAATGCTGATTTGCATATTGCCTCCACAGGCCTGTGCCCTCCATTGGCATTCGGAAGTTTGGATTTGTAATGGCTGGTTTGTGTGGCTCCTTACATCCCCATCAGAATTGAAATGATTCGTGGCTGAGGCGTTGAAGGGCAAACAGTCCGAAATACCGGAAAGCCAAGCTAATAACGATAACCCGTTTTCAGTTTGCAAACGAGCACGCGGGCCATGCATGTGGTAGAGGCACGTGCCAGCACCCAGCGGGAGTTATTAACACTTGGGGGTGAACTTTCTGAGATTCTGATGTAAGCCACAGACCTCTGCCTCTGCCCCCAAAGTACATATATGCGTGCTGCACACAGCTGAGGGAACTCGCAGGCCGTGAGTGGCCAGGGCCGGCCCAGGGCTGACGGCTGGAGGGCAGAGCTGGGCTCGCAGGCCCAAGGGCCGGACGCCTCTGACTTGTGCTCGGTCTCTGTTTGGCTGCCCACCTGCAACCCCTCTTATCTTAGGAGGGCAAGCCTGGCGGGTGGTGTTTGAGCCCAGGCCAAATGGGGACTCGGGGTCCTGCTCCCTGGGGAGGGAGCTGGGGGTCTTGGGCCTGAGTCTGTTGCCGGGTCGGCCATTTGTGCTTTGTCCCCCTCCCAACCCCTGCAGCCCGAGAGCCCTGCAGAGCTCCGTGTTTCTCCCGCGGAGCAGAGAGGGGGCATGGGGACGCTCCTGGGCATGCTATCCCCTTATGA